TTCGTTTTTTTTTCTGTGCAGGAGAGAGGCACACGGACGCAGACTAGAGAGATGTCGATGGCCAGGTCGGCGTGCGTAAGATCGTACTTCTGCCCCTCCACCATGCGATGTACATGCGCCTTGTTTCCCAGAGTGGTCCAAAGCGTCAGGCTACGACGCGCATGCGGTCGGAGCGCACACATTGCCAATTCCTTGCCGTTGGCCAGTTGCTCTGCTAGCCCACGGGCTGCCCCTGCCCCCATCCTTCCCTACGTACCCGACGCGCCGCTGGCCGCCGCTCGCCAGACAGCCAGCATGCAGACGTGAGCTGGCGTGATTGGGATGCAACGCGAGTTGTTAACCAGTCCTCCAGCCCCAGAAAGGGGGGCTCCAGAAACTGAGGCACCGTGAACTCCTCGAGCTTTGGCCTGTCCCGCAAAATCTGCGGCAAGCTGCTCAAACACCGGGTCTTCGACGCTTCCGTGCGCAACATGACCGTTGCTACCGCCTGCTTGTCCTGCTGACCAGGTCCACAACGGAGAGGAGTAGCTACAGGCGGCGTTCCTAACCCTCAACGAACTCGATGGTAGGCCTTGGGCCCGCCACCGATGGCATCCGGAGCATTTTCCAGCAGCCCTGCCCTCGACGATGTCGCCGACGATCGCGCCGTGAATCTGGAGGGAGCGCCAAGAAGAGTAGACCTCATCCACCGTTCCCACTGTCAGCCTGGCTATCCCACACTCCGAAAATAGCACTACTTCGATGTACTCCATGTTGGCCGTGACTTCGTCCTCCGCCCACTCCCTCCGCGCCCCCCCCCAGCCTCACAAGAGAGGGCGCGCGGGATGCACCCGGATCGATCCCCCTTCCCTGTGGGATGCGGTCGGTGCCCCTCCGCTTGCTGGGTCTTATTGTGCGGCCGCTGGCGCCGCGCCCGGCGCGCCGGCAGCCGAAGACGGAACCAGTCCAGGTGGCTCGGGCGCTCCGGCCACTCGCAGGGCGGCAACGGCCCGGGTGAGGCCCGTGTCCGCGGAGTCGTCGTCCTCCTTGGCGGTCGCGTCCGCGCCGACGAACGTCCCCGCCTGGCAAAGCGGGGCCGTCCAGTCCACTGCACACGCACCCTCGGCAGCACCACGCCATGGCTGTGCTCAAGAGGGCACGAACAGGAAACACCTCGGTTGACCCGCCCGCGCGGACACGAACTGTGAGGGTGCCGGGCAGTGGTAGGGTGGTACGAAGGAGAGAAAAGAAGCACAGGGCCCCTGCTGGA